GCACTGGTAGAAAAGGAGAGAGGAAGAAGAATGATGGATAAAGATTTGTCTTAGTTCTTTTGGTACGTCATATTTTGTGGTATTAGATGTAAACCTCGGCATTTATTTGTACCATGAACCCTCCATATATTTTAGCTGAATATCACTGACTGTTTTTCCTTCTCAACCTTTTGGGTGTACTTTACTTTATTTCAATTAACTTCGTGTACACTATACTTTTTATATCATGTTTTGCTCACCTATTTGGAAAACTAGTATTGTTGAAAGGTTATGTTTGGGTTAAATCTGTTATCTTCTCATAGATGCCTTATAAATGATCTGCAAGTTGGCACTTTTATGCAGTGAAGGGTAAGAAGAAATGATAAAAGAAAGTCTTAGATTTCGGCTCCTCATGACTAAGGTTTATTAGCGAGGCGCAGATCTGATAAAAAAGTTTCAGATTTCCGGCTTCCACACTTTGGAAGGCTGTGAAGACCTAGAGTTTTGACTTTACAGCTAGTACGCCTCAACATCATCAGGTGTTGGTTATTTGAATCCTCAATATCAATTTCCCTATATGAGCCCAGTTTCGTTCCAATATCCAATAATTTTTCTTTAGGACAAATTAGGGGTTTTATGAAACTAGGATTCAGCCTCACACTTATTTCTACTTTAGCATACAATCTTTACCCAAACTAATATATCTTGTTTCGAAGACTAGACTTAGTGTAGGGGTACCTGCAATGACGAATCTAATCACACAGCTAGTTGATATCACCTATATGGATACTTGGCTTCCGTTGCATTTTATTCATGACTAAGTGATGCATCACTAAGTATGAGTTGTCTATTATATTTAGGCACCATAATCCTGTTTAATTTCATCTCACCCCATTTCTCTTATACTGACTAAACTTGCAGCACATCTATTATTTCTTTACTCTATTTATCACAACATCCTTGCCCTCTAGAGTATATCTCCATAGTTCTAGCTTGTAGTTGACTTTTCACTAGCTTTGTCAATTAACAAAATCGTTTGCAAATAGCTTACACTATAAATATCCATCTTGTTTTATCAATCTCTCACTAGAAATTCCTATGGTAAAATGTGCATGAAATCAATATAAAAGAAACAATTCTTCCCCATCGCTAAATTAGCAACTCCTGCTTCTAAAATGGAAGTTAATATTCATGAGGGAGAGAGGTAGGAGGCTAGAAAAAATACAAATCAGTGGCCATATGGTTTGCTGGGAAAATGAACATAAGTTGTGATTAATTGTTACATAAATTCTTGTTAAAATGGTGGTGTTAGCCTGGATTTCGCTTTTGTTTTTCAGCATACACTAATGTTTAGGTAACGGTATCCATTGCTGTTTGTTTGATTTGGGATACCAAACCAAATCGTAAAAGTACCTTTGAAAATTTTCCAGACCAGAATGCTGTTTTAATTTTGAAACTATTTTGAATCAAATTGTAGTACTACTGTTTGGTTTACTGTTGAAATCGTACTATTGCTCCCGTTCCCCCTTGCGCCCATCTTTTGGGTAAAAGGCGTTGGAAAACAAATTGTGATTTTATGTTCTTCAATTGGCACAGACCCTATGCCTAGGTGACTGGATGATTACCTAATTATCCTATAAATTGAAGAAAATTAAGAAAACATAAAGACAAGACAAGGAAATAAGTCCATGAAAGCTCTCGTTCTGACTATAATATTAAAATTTTCCTCTTTCTTTGCATATCTATGTCATTTACGTGTACTAGCTTTTGTGTTCAGAAATTATGACAAACCTGTTTAATGTTTCTATGTACATGTATATAGCTTCAATAATGTTTCAAAATAAGGAGTTAGTTGCTTGTATAACGCCTAAGCTATCGAAGTATATTAATCAGTCAAATGACGGAGCAACATTGATATTTTAAAGAGAGAAGAAAAGATGGACAAGGCATTGAGTGCAAACTGCGGTGCCCTTAATGGGCTTGCTTCGATGAACACACAGAATAACTAGGATTTAGCATGAAATTAGCCTAAAAGGTTTTTCTTAATGCTGATCTTGCTGCATAAATTTACTTCTTTGAGCTCTACAATGTCCATAATTTTGGGCAGCAGTGGTTGACATCTTGTCTGTCCATCTTATGAAAAGTAGAAAGTATCTCTAGACTATTATAAACATGCAACAAATAATGTGTATGACAGTGTATTTGGGAACAGTGTGCATTCAATGCCAGCTAATTCAACTGGCAGTTTGTTTGAAGCTTCACTTAAGCTAGCCATCAATGCTTGGGTTTGTAGTTTCTTTGAATTAATATATTTATTTTGATAAGGGTTATAGTTTCCTTATGAAATTTTAGTTTGTTTATCCATTCTTCCGTATTCATCTTATCCCTTAGTTGTAGTGCATGAAATTTCTTCTGCGTATTTCTGACCAAGTTTTACAAATCATGTCCCTGAATAATGGAGCTAATTGCAGCTGTCCTTTTTATGGTTTCTGGAATTTTGTATGTGATGCTAGTTACCATGAAAAGGGCAGCCTAGTGCACGAAGCATCCCGCGTTCACACAGGGTTTGGGGAAGGGCTGCACCTCGAGAGGGTGTAATATAGGTAGCCTACCCGGATGCAAGCATCAATGCCTGATTCGACGTCTCGAACCTAGAATCTTACATGCTAGTTACCATGATCTTACAAATTTCTTTACTGGTGATGCTTTAGATAAAACTGATCTTTTTCTTCTATATTCCACATATTTCCTATGGTGGTAAATTTTAACATATACACACACACACATGTATATATATATATATATATATATATATATATAACGCCATCTGGTCATGGGTCAATGTACACGAACGCAATGCATGAAAAGTACGATCCAACATGTAATCTAGAGAGGCTGTCGTGAGATAAGTAGAATAAAACATGGAGAAATACTTGACATTGGATGATCGAACATGTAATCCAAGCTTATACATATGACGCACGGGCCTATAAGGCCGGCATGATCCTTTATATACTCAAAACATAGGCCGACAAGGCCATACAAAAAACTGTATACATGACATATGTATACAAGACTCTAAGAATACATAATATCGTAAAGGTCGGGATAGAGCCTCGCCATACCAAACAATACACATCTAAATTATACTGACCAAACAAGCAACTCCGAAGCAAATGGAGTGCACTAACATCTTCCGCTGAGCTGATCACCTACTTGGAGGACTCTCAATCTATCTATCGAGACCTGCGGGCAAGAAACACAGCGTCCCTAAGCAAAAGAGAAGTCAGTACAAATAATGTACCGAGCATGTAAGGAATGAAAATCAATAGACAATAGACATGAGAGAAACATAGAGTAAATGACTTGACATGTAAATCTGAATAGCTCTATAAAATCCTTTAATATTTAAAATNTCCTGGCTATTGAGATTGCAATTTTCTTGTTTCATCCTTTGTTGTTCTTTTGCAGCAAGGCCTTGGAGAAAGCCAGTAAGAACAAGACGATTATAGATGCTATTGGGGAGCCCATTGTTAGAGGTCCTTGGTATAATGCATCATTAGCAGTAGCTCACCAAAGGCATTCTGTATCATGCACATTCCCTGTCTCTGGACCACAAGGCACTGGAATTTTTCAGTTAAAGGCAGTTCGTAATGGAGGTTTGTGCTGTTCTTTAAATATTGCTTGGAGTAGACATTCTCTGTCTTTTTTTCCCATTCCCAGATGCGTTGTGGAATATTTTATCCGTTGTTTTTGAGTCGTGGTGGTGATAAGGTCAAATTCCTGCAAAAAGTTCCAATCTTTTCCCATTATCAACTGATAAATCTATTAAGTAGAGCAGATATTTCTTGACTATCATAGGTATCTTCAGATTGCTTAGCTTTCCATTGAGAACGAGGAAAACGGAATATAACTAGACTAACTGGGTTTTTTGTTTTCGAATGAGTTGCTACTACTTTACTGTAGAGAAAAGATTAGAAGAGAAAGACGTTTATTGTTACATACAGGTTCATAATTGTCTCAAGATACTTGTTCTACTTGTCTAACTAGTACTGCTGTTGTTTAACTACTTGGAGCAGAGGAGAAATGGTCATCATTTTTACGACCAAGCGACTGGGAGATACTCATTATGGAAGCTCTTGTACATGTCCCGGGGAATGAAGAGAAGCAGCAAACGTTTCGGATAAGGGTTTCAGATGACCTGCCTCCACCAGCTAGTAACTCGTCCACGGATTGCACATCTCAGGAATCGTGTAGTGTGGAGAAGAAATGACCTACATCTATTCTGCCATGCTTGCTGCTCCCAACCTCACATCCTCCAGTGGGGCTCTTCTAATTTTTTTCATACAAATGATAAGAGGTTTGCACATTTAGCATTGTGAAATTCCAGTTCCAAGCACCAAATCTATGCTTGCAGGAAAGATCGGATCTTGTTGAGGCAATTACAGAATTAACAAGTGTTGCTATATACTTCTTTTTTTAAATCGCGTAGTCTGTGATTCTTTTAAATTTTAAAACACTGTGATTAGTGTGATTGTGTGCATTTGATTACTGGTATAAGAATAAATAAGTTCATCATCAAAAGTGTTGATTTTGGCAAGGAAAGTGAAACCTTGCTGTATTATTTCCAATCAATAATGGTTTTCATTGTAAATGTTATTAGAAAAGTTAAATTATGGTGGATGTCTACTCTTCTCCATTATCTGCATAACTCACACTACTCTAATACTTATGGAGTTATGATTGTAACTCCATGATCTTCCTCTATGATCTTCCTCTCAAATACTTAATGACATGTTCAATGACATATTTACAATAGTGATTCTTCACTTTTCATGCATATATAAAGGCCTTGTAATAGATAAGAATAAGAAAAGAGATACAATTGAAGAAATAAGAATCTCTCATCTCTTTCTCTCTATATCTCTTAGCTTGTTTTTTCTTGTTATATATTGTTATTTTGAACTATATTTCATAGCACAGTATGAGCACGAGTCTCTTAAAAATTAGTTCTAAAAGTCTAAAGAATGCACCGACGGAGAAACTTTATAGTGCACAGATACATTCTTCACCCTTTCTAAACTTTCCACCTTTGCATTAAATTGTGTGCAATATGTGTACTTGTTGATGCATGAAGTTTTTTGTGTTGGTACATCATGTGAAGTTTTTTTCTTAATGCTTATGATTAACAGGTCATTAGATGTAAATAGGAACTACCTGTGACAAGTAGTGAAACTTGAGATGCTATGATTTTCAGTTGTGCTACAAATTTTACTAATCTTTATTTTCTATTAGTGCTAACCGATGGGAGTGCTTACATGAGATATGCATGTACTTCACTATAATTATTTCGTATCTATTCAAATTCTGCTATGACATATTTTATATGTGGGAGCCCAGCAATATAGTTGTTTTTAGACAATAATTTTGGTTTAAGTTTCTCTAGTTGGAATATGGTGTCTTGCTTTCTTTTACGTGTGAAATCAAGGAATATAAGTTTTTCTTTATTTTCGGGTTGCTTAGTGATTTGTTATTTATACTTTTCTTATAAGCTCTCCAATTTAAATTCTGAGTTATGCAGGGAAGTAGGAAAATATGTTTTGAGCTTTTGGATTGAAGGATGCGGTAGAGGACTTGTGCGGTAATATGTAAATTAAAGTGTTTGGCCTTCTTGATGTCTGTACTAGCCTTCCACAAAGATTTAGTATGAATTTGTCCATCGACGATGCTTTCCATAATTAAGTCTTGTGACGTGTGATGTCATTACCATTACAAAATTTTAAGAAATTTATGACCACCATACATGATAATATTTTAAAGGCTCGAGTGAGAGTCCTAATGAATTTTGGCATATTATGCCAAAGATTGAGAGGAAGATGGTGGGTTCAAGTCCCAATGCTTTATGTTGATGAAAAGAGTGAAGCGAATGTGATAACAGTATATGATAAGTCTGAAAGAAGACAAAATAATTTTTCATGACTGTATGAATGTACGAGGGTATGACAAGAGACAAAATAATAATTGACACCACTATGGTAACTATAAAAGGAGAACAATAGGGGTTATTAAAGTAATCCTTCAAAGGGTGAAGGCAATATTTACCATCAAATTGGTATGAAAAATTTATAAAGCACGTCGCGATAGTTATACTCCATTATTTGAAGAGAATCTCACTTATAATAAGCATTGAAAATGCAGGCTTATTCTTGAAGGTGAATATAGCAATATGCGATAAAAAGAATGAATAAAGATATGCAATTGCATGATTGAATGAATACCACACAACTCACCTCTAAGGGAGGTTTGAGTGGTCGCCTACATGTGATACGCCAAAAATATTTTGTTATGCCTTATAAAAGGTTATTAAAGGCAAAATTAATGCAAGAAATGATTTTGTTTATGATGATTTTGACTATAACAATTATTATTATATGGTTTTCTCCGTAAATGAGACATTCACCATATGGATAGTGTGGCAAAAGATCTTGTAGTATAAAATCAATTAAAAGCTCCGAAAGAACTAATTTGTTACTACCCGGATGAGTGAAATTGTTCATGACATTGATATTGTAGTAAGTCTCTAAAGAAACTTTTTGATTTTCAAATATATTAGCTAAAGTGGTTGGCATATTGAGACTATACATGAAAGGAAGATTGATTATCTTCCTATTACTATAATCATACCAGGTAAACATGAAAGGTTACTCGACTTTTCTTCTATTGCACTACACAAGTATAAGCATGGTGATGGAATCACATGCCACAAGTAAATTAGAGGTTTATTGAAACAAATATTAGTTGGCATGACCGGTACCATTCCGGTTCAATTATGATGCGAAAATTAATCGAGAATTCACATTGGCATATATTGAAGAAATAGAAGATTCTTCAAAAAATTTCTTGTACTGCTTATTCTCACGATATACCAGTTAAGGTTGGGATTGAATCCCTTGATTTCTGGAACGAATAAAAGGTGATATATATATGGGCTCAGTCAACTGTCATGTGGACCATTTACTATTATATGATTTTAATAGATGCATCTATTGTATGGTCACATATGCGTTTGTTACCAACTTACAGTTTAGTTTTTGCAAAGTTGTTTGCTCAAATTATTAGAGCACAATTTCAGAATATAAATTATGATAATTTATCTTGATAATACTGGTTTAAATCCAAGTTGGTTTAGCAGAAATTGTATGCCTCCAATTATAGCTAAACCATTGGTTATGAGAACAAAACTTTCAAATCTTTTTTAGTATGAGATGTATTATTTAATAGACAGTAGCACTTGTACGCATCTAGCCAACAAGTTATGATAAATACTCCCTATCACAATCGGTTCAGGGTCAGGAACTAAATAATTTTCATCTAGAAATATGGATGTGCTATATAATTTAATTATGCCACCACAATGTACAAAGATGAGTTCCCAAAGAAGGTTGAGAAATGTGATGGTGATCCCAACATCAGGGGGAGAAAATGTGCAGCTAAAAAAGTGATACGTGGAATGAATTATTATGAATACATATAGATCCTCGTAAAAGAAAATATGAACTTGAAGTTCAAGTGATAATTCATTTGCAAATTATTGCCAGACGCATTTGCTAAATGTCATATTTCAGTTGCTAATGCTCCAAATAGAATAAACTCCACGAGGGACAAAATCTATGGCACGTAAGAAGCGTAACAAACCAATCGATTTCAAAGATAAAACTCTTTGAAGAAGGAGATGAGCAAATGTTCAAGATGGTCATAATAAAGATGCAAGTGCTCTAGAAGAGTATCACGACATAACACTTCATAAGACCTCATGGGAGAGGCTCAGGTACCTGAAAATAATGAGATCTCGATAAGTTATGTCTTTATTGAGTGATGATGGAACCGATGCAAAATGATCGTCGGCGATATTGTTAATATAATGTAGCGCTCAATATTATTAATATTGACGAGGATCTTGGGCTCAAATCTGTCATGAAATTTGGACAGATAAATGATTGGCCAAATGAAAAATACTCAATAAAAATTGACTTCACCTGAAAAATATGAAGTTTGACGGATAGTCCCAACACCTAAAAGTATAAAGCCAGTGGTGCTATAAATGTGTTCTTGTACGAAAAAAGTCGAGTTGATAGACATAAAGACAACATGTGACACAAGAAGATTTGTAAATATCCTGGCATTGATTATATAGAGACATGTTCTCCTGTGGTGGATGTAGTCATTTTAGGTTTTAATCTGACAATACATGAAAAACTTGATATGCGTATAATGGAAATCATTGAAGGATTTAAATTGTTTTGAAACATATTAAGGTTCCCAAGAAATTTATTAAATAAAGTTTCAGCAAATTCTTATGTGAATTAGAGCGATCATGGCGTACATGAATTATTTTTGTGTCTAGTGCAATTGGTGCACTAATGTATCTTGCTAGAACTATGAGCATAACAATATGCAAGCAAGATATAGTTTTATTCCTATATGAAGATATTAGAATATTATTAGGATTATATTGCAAAAGGAATCCTTGATATATATTTGTTTATTCTAACAAATATTGCCAAAGTTTTGTTGGTTATGCAAATGCAGACATTTTCTGAAGATCGTTATTCAAACAATCTATTTGTATGTGAGGGTACTGCCATATTATTATTTCACAAGGCAATCAATTATTTATACTTATTCAACAATGTCAATATACTAGCAACTGATAAATCAAGTCACTCAACACACAACCTGTGTGTGCCTTTACTTTGAAGAGAAGACTCCAATAATAGTGAAGACAATGCTGTTTGCTTATCTCAATTGAAAGAAGGATATGTCGAAGGAGACAGAATAAATCACATATTTCATTAAATTTCTTTATCAGACACAATCTTCACCGAACGATGAAATAGATGTTCAATGAATTTGTTCGCTTGATAATTTGGTGATTCTATTCAACGAAGCATGATCAACCTCAACATTTGAGAAGTTGGTATACAAGATCGAAACACATCATCTAGGTGAAATAAATTGATGTTTTCATCAGGGGGAGGCAAATACACGTTGTACTCTTTTTTCCTTAGCTACGTTTTTATCCCACTAGGTTTTCCTAGCAAGATTTTTAACGAGGCACCAAGCAATGCCTATTCCATGATATGTATACTCTTTTTCCTTCACTAGGATTTTTTTTTCATAGGGTTTTTTCCTAACAAAGTTTTAACGACGCACATTATCTATGGACATCCAAGGAGAGTGTTATAAGAAAAATTAAATTATGGTGGATGTCTGCTCTTCTCCATTATCTCCATAACTCACATTACTCTAATACTTATGGAGTTATGATTGTAACTCCATGATCTTCCTCCATAATGTTTAATGATATGTTCAATGACATATTTACAATAGTGATTCTTCACTTTTCAATATTTTCATACATATATAAAGGCCTTGTAATAGATAGGAAAAGAGACATAATTGAAGAAGAAATAAGAATCTCTTCTCTCTTTCTCTCTATATCTCTTAGCTTGTTTTTTCTTGTTCTATATTGTTACTTTGAGCTATATTTTATAACAGTAAAATAATTATTCTTGCTAGTTAGAGCAATTAGTTTGACAATTATGTTAGAATAATCAATGACCTCACCAACTAGCCTATGGTAGTTGAGAAGTCATTAAACAATGCTAATTAAGTGTGAACTCTGTTTCTTTGTCCAACAAAGCAGATGAACAGTTCAATTTTAAATTTGAAACGTACGAAGCTTTCTGAAAGCGACATAATGATTGGCTTACCAGCCAGTCGATTTCCTGTCAACCAGGTCAGACTTTCACCAATAATCAAGAATCTCTATCGTGTTAGAGCTTTGAATATATGAAAATAATTCTAATTAGGAGCGCTCTCCTCGGCCTTATTCACTCGTAAATAATTCTAATTAGGAGTACTAGTAATTATTAGTATATTCAAATCATCCCTCCATTAAGATGAGGCGTTCCAAAAAATAAATTATACAACTTCCATAAATATAATTTTTTTAAACTCTTCATACTTTAACGTAGATGTGATGTTTAATTTATTTTCGACCATTACTTTAATTAATGTTATTTTTATCATAATTAATATATTATAGATGTTAAAATAATATTATAAACTCTATATATGCAGGCAAACAATTTATCACATAACTAATATACTTCTAAATAATTTCATGATCAGAAGGAAAAAGTTACAAGCATCCAGCTTCTAGCGTGAAATTCCCTAAAAAGGGAACAAATGCCACGACCGAAAGACCATTTAGCTACCATACAAAAAAGGATGGTTGGAAGATATGATCCTTTACCTTTAACGAGGTCTCTAGTTCGAATCTTGCAAAAATAAAAATAAAAATTGATGCTTATGAGTTTAGAATTTTAATTATTTTAAGTCCCTAATTTCTAAATTAATAATTTGTACATATTTAATAAATTCTTAAAGACAAATACATAGTTTAAACTAAGGACCCGTTTGGCCATAGATTTTGTCAATTTTTTTCCAATTTGTTTTTTAGCAAATACATGTTTGTTCATATATTTTATTCATATCTTTGCAAATTTCCCAAACCCAAAACCAGCTTTGACCCAAAATATTACTATTATATTTTTTAAAAATTATCCCAAACTTTTGTATTTTATAAAATATCCCACAATTTATTATTTTGTAACAATATTGCTTTGTCTTCTCGGTCATCTGATAGTGTATTATGTAGTTCATTATAAAAATGATAGTTTTGTACCAAATTTATTTATGTTCAGGATTATGGTTTGTGATAATGACAATGAATTTTATTAATGAATGTACTATTTGATATTTGTGATAGTTTTTAGAACTCGTGGGTATAAGTCATGTTTCATGTTTTTTTTTTAAAAAAGTAAAACATGTTTTGAAAACTTATGTCCAAACACATTTTCAAACCAAACTTCATTCAAATCACATTTTTTAAAATAAATTTATAAATATTTGACCAAACGCTAGCTAAAACTATTGAATTCGACCGTATTTGACCGAACATGAAGTATGAGAGCCCTAATAGGAACACCCTTTTAGAAAATACAAGTTGGAATCCATGATGTGATTTGATAAGCTGGCAACTTACAAAGGAATAATTAAATTCCCACCTTATGTCCACTCTCTAAAGACTAGAATCTCTTTGAATTCTCCACCCATATCAATTTTGACTGCTAATTTCACTGTTAACATTCAGCCATTCACAATTAATTTCTTTGAATCATATTCTCTTTTTGGAAGGTGAGAGATGTCGACCATCTTTGGAACAATGGAGGTCAATATTGTCAACGCTCGCGGTCTCAAAAACAACGAATTCTTGGGTATTTATTAATTCTATCAAGCTGATCTCTAACTCCATAAGATAAAGATAAACTTTGCGTATCCTCTCCAAATTCCGCTTGTGAAAATATTAGATATATATGTTGTTGTTGTGAGATCAGTTTTATAGTCCATTACAAATGTTTTTTCAATTTGGTCTTTTTGTTCCGATATATTGTACTCTAGTATTGTAGTTTTTGCTGTTTACTTGCATAATACTAGTGCACATTAATTTGGTGTTGTTGTATATGGTGTAGGCGGTGGAATAGATCCATATGTTTTGATTCAATATAGAGCTCAAGAACGTAAGAGCACTACTGCAAAAGGTATTCATTTATTATTTCCATTCTCTCTTTTTTTCCCTATAAAATAGAATGGTGGATATACCTTTAGGCCAACAGATGTATCACACTTATATATCAAAAATATTTTTCAAATTAATTACATACACAAAATGCTTCTTACTAAGAATATCTTTTTGAAAAATACTATGCTAAAATGCTAATTTTAGAAGCTTGACCAAACAAGTTATAAATCTGATTGGACTCTTTAGCCCCGCACTACGATAAGATGCACAGTTTCCACTTCAGGCCAGAAATTTGAAGTAATTGCATCTGATAAAATAGTAATCTCATTATTCTTTTTTAGGGAAAGTGCTAAATTCAACTTTGAAATATAAGGAAATTGCTGTCATATTGTAACCTGTTCATATGTCGTGTGGGTAACGCACAGAGTAAATGTTCTGCTATTTCGTTTTCTTCCTCTCTTGACAGAATAAGAAAATATCGGAATAGTACTACTACTAGTGGTAAGACTAGGAGAAACTCGCGACTACCTATCAACCTTCAACCTTTATTCTTGACTTCCATACCTTTCTATTGAGGGTCATGTCCTCGTTAAGTTGAAGCAATGTCATGTCCTCTTTAATCACTTTTCTCTAATATTTTTTTGGCCTACCTCTACCCTTCCTCGTACCCGCCATGATCAACCTCTCACACCTCTTAACCGGGGCATCTATATATGTCTATCCTTTTCACCTGTCCGAACCATCTCAACCTCACTTCCCGCAACTTGCCCTCCACAGGTGCCACTCCCACCTTGTCCCTGATAACTTTATTCATAATCTTATCTTTCTTGGTATGCCTACACATCCATCTCAATATCCCCATCTCTGATACTTTCATCTTCTGAACATGAAATTTCTTGACCGGCCAACTCTAGACCCATACATTTTTTTTTTTTTAAATGTATCTGACCATAATGTCTTACAGCAGCAAGGTCTTATGTGATATCATGAGTTATCCATCTTCTGTTTTTCCGAGTCAAAATACTTTCAATGACCAATACATGTTTGAATTGTTTAAAGGGAATTATATAAATCTATTTTAATTACAATTTTCTCAAACTCTTGCTCACTGACAATGCAGGCCAAGGCAGTAAACCAGAATGGAATGAGAGGTTCAATTTCAGGGTAGAGTATCCCTCTACAGATAAGCAGTACAAGCTTATACTTAAGCTCATGGATCATGATACCTTTTCCTCAGATGACTCTCTAGGCGAAGCGACGTAAGTAATTTTCGTTTACATTATCATATCAGACTTGATACGAAGATTAATACAAGTTGTCGTAAGTCAATTTAACTAGATTGTCAATTATACTATATTGTTTACATTCAATCAATTGTGCACTTGTAGTATTTATTTGAAGGAATTGATTGAATTGGGCGTGGAGAATGGAAGAGCTGAAATTCATCCTCGCAAATATAGTGTGGTGGGCAGTGATCAATCTTACTGTGGGGAAATTCAAGTTGGCCTCACTTTCACCCCTAAGGTATTCTTTTGAACCCTCAGCTGCAGCATCGGGAACTAGGAATTTCTAAGGGGTATCAAAATAGAAAGACATAAATACAAAAAATAGTTAAAGGGATTCAACATATAATATAGATACATAAAAATAAATTTTTATCTAGCTATAGTGTGTATTTTCCGGCCAAAGGTGTCAATTGACACATGTTAGCCTAAGGTGGCTGAATCCAACCAAACTTTACAAACCTTGTAGTCTTACTAAATCTTGGTAAAATTTTCTTGAAAACTTTAATTTTAAAGGAAAAAGGAAACTAAAAAGGCGAGATAGCAAACAAAATCGATCAAATGAAAGAAATCTACGTGAATAGAAAGCACAAAATAAAGTACTCCATCCGTTTCAATTTAGATGAGTTAGTTTGACTTGAAACGAAGTTTAAGAAAAAAAAGAAGACTTTTGAAACTTGTGGTTTTAAAAGCTTAAGGGGTAAAGCCTTTATAGGGTCATGACATTTGTATGATTATAAAAACTTCTCATTAAGGGTAAAATGAGTAAAATAAAAAGTTTAAAATTAAATTATTTCCAAATTTAAAAATGAATCATTTATTTTGGAACTGACTAAAAAAAAAGTACCTCACTAATTTGGAACGGAGAGAGTATATATA